TCTACAAGCAGCATCCGACATCTGCCTCGAACGCTCTTTACACGACCTACCTTTCGACGACAAACTCGACACGATTAATGGTGTCTTGCCCGCGGCTATAGTGTTGTTGTTGGACGCTATCTACCCACTCAAAGGGGAGAGGCTTACGTTTGGGTTTGTGATTCAGAGGTGTGAGGAGGTGGAGAGGCTTTTGGCACCGATACGGTTTAGCACTTATCGGTCGTCGACGCAAACGATCAACATTACTCTCAAATCTGTTGACAAGCTTTTGGCGGATACGCTTCAGGCAGCTCAAGCGGCAGAGATCGTTCGGGCTTCGTGGACACAGCCTGTATTGCAGCCGGGAGGGGATACGTTTGGTGACTTGCTTGATGGGCTTAGTTTTGGTACGTCTCTTATCCCTGTCTTCTTTCGCCCCTCAAAGGGAAGGGATGTGGCGGAGCTAATGTCGTGTGACCTAGGGAGTTTACTGGATAGCTTCGAGGATATGGGGTCGGTGGTATCTGCTTGAAGCAAAAAACCTCTCGGATCGTACCATCGCCATCGTTGTACTTTTTACCATGCACCTGTACATTTCCTCGAGCACTCGATTCATCTAATCGAAATCCCTAACTGCTGATGACATTCATCACCTCGTTCCTCTCTGCGCCCGCTTGACCCTCATAGCCTTATACTCTCCTCCTAACACGCGCTTCGTATCCCTCGGCACGCCTTTGCTTTCGATGATGTCGCCAAACTCTTCCTCAGAGACATTGCTGTGGCCGAGGGGTTCCAGGACTGTTTCGTCGTCGGGTTGGATAAAGTACGCGATAGCTACGACTTTCGTCAGCCTAGATGCACAAGAAGGCAGAGGATCATGGGATCGAGGGATAGAGGTGCTTACAGAAACGCGAAGCCTGTTCTGCCTGTGTACGCGGCATCACAACCCTATGGATTGTAGACTCGTCCTCATCAGCTTGACACTCTCCTCACCATCCAGCACAAACTCACTCTCAACTTCGCTCCCGACCAGAACTCCAAAGCATCCCCAATGTTGATCACCACGCATCCTTCCCTCGGGGCTACGTCGAGCCATTGACCGTGTCGGGAGACTTGGAGGCCGGAGATGTGATGTTGGAAGAGGAGGGTGAGGGAACCGAGGTCGGTGTGGGCGCCGGCGCGGATATCGGGACTGTATGGGTTGCATGTCAGTAGGATGGTTCAGGAGTGGAGGGAAGGGGGGAGGCGTACACATTGGGGTCCGCTGGCTGGTGGTCGGATGACACGGGTGGGTAGTGAAGGAGACGCAGACGATTGTGTCTATTGATGTGTTAGTAAATAGTAGAGGGACTTGTACAACGGCGTGTTGGTGGCTTACTGTCCGTTATGATACTTGACGAGAGCTTCGCGATCCCACTGGTGAAGTTTTCATCAACATATTCCCTGACACACGGCCGAGTCGCCAACTTACTCCTAAAGCCACCGCCAAACCCCTCAGGATCTTCTTTGCCGTCTCCCCACAAGCTTTTACAAATCGATCCAACACTTCTCTCTTTTCCTCGAGTGTCGGGGGAAGCTGTTGGTGGAGATTGTGTGCCGACATGTAAGAAGAGTCGGCGACGAAGAAGGATTCTTTATAGTCGCCGGAGGAAGGCATGAACCAAGACAAGCTATGCGCGGTATTATCAGTGACGCGTCTAAGACCAGAGACTGCTGCTTACGCTTCTTGACGACTAAAAGAGTGTCTCATCAGTACCTGACAGTGATAAATAGCAGCCGCAGCTTACGGAGCGGTATACCCCATGTCCCCATTGCCAGCTACCTTCTCGCTCTCTGGCGCTCCTAGAAAGAACGAACTTGAGGCGCCAAAAGCCCCATCAATCAACGCTTGAGGGATACCGTGATCTTGCAGGTAAAAGAATCCGTCCGAGTTGGCGGCTACAAGAAGCTGTTTAGCCAGAGCCTCGTCGGTGGCACTCTCAGATAGAGAGATGAGGCGGAGGACAGAGTCGTCTTCGGATTGGGGAGGTGAGATGGCGATCGGCATTGTGCTTGTAGTCGGGGGTATCGGCAGTAAGGAAGAGGAGCCTGTTATATCTTGCCGACTGGACTTGGGAGAAGTCTTCAGGCTTCGAGGCATCATTTTCCGCGCGAGACCCGCGCGAGATAGATAACGCTGCGCCCGAGATACTCCTACCCATCATCTGACAGCGGCCACATAGCCGCTGGGGCGCCATACTGTGCCATTTGTCGGCGCCATCTTGACGAACATCTGTCTGAAGTAGTCACCAAAGGCGATACTCAGCTACTGACTACATACAGCACAAACCGCCCGACAAAGAATGTTGACAGCAAAGCAAAGCCCGAGCGGCGATCCCCGAAAGCCGAAAGGCCAATCAAAACAACACCGCGCATCTCTTATCTATCTCGTCGTTGTGCCATGCAAACAGATAGCGCCAGTTCCGCCCCAGATAAATCTTGGCAAGGAGCAACCAAAAGCAATTTCATTGAAATATGATGGCCGACTTCCATTCGTCCCACAGCCAAACACCCGGACTCTGTCGCGCACACCATGAACCTCAAAGCCTTATTAAGAAAGCTCGAAGTGGATCAGCATGTCAGTGTTTCTCGAGATAGGCCCCTCTATGAAGTCTCAACGCTGATGTTATGTAGGGGGAGCAGATCAACGTGGAGGGGCAATTCATCAATAGAGATACCATCCCTCAGCCCAAGTCTAAGCGTAACTATGGCCCTTGGAGGTGAGTCCATATCATCGATCAGCTCCATCTTTATTGTCTGACGCCCTTCTAGCTTCGTAGGGAGTGAGTAGGCTTCTGCGCTTCTGGTTATTGCTTATACAGATATCAGTCTGGATGGTCACTGGCTCCTTCAATATCGGCGGCTATACAACGGGTAGGCTTATCAGCTTTTATTTCTCATCTACATCACTCACTTGCTCTTCAGGATCATCTCTGATATCTCTCGGACTCAATGTCTGGCAATCTATGCTCGTCGTCATCATCGGACATATCATCAACGGCTTCACCTGCGTCGGGACAGGCTGGCCGTGAGTGATAGCACTATATCATGTTCTCGCTCGTCGCTCATCATCTGTATAGAGGTGGAAAATACCACATTGGGTATCCGATTCTTCAAAGAGCAGCATGGGGAACCAGAGGTGCCGTGAGTTTGATTTGTCACATCTTTCTACTAATAACGCTTACCTGTCCATAGGACTTTGTGATCGCTCTCCGTATCGTCCTCACCTTTACCTGGATTGCCATTCAACTCTGGTGGGGTTCTCAAGTGGTCAAGACTTTCATCGGTGCTATTTGGCCTTCCTTCTACAACCTTACTACTCCTCTCGCCTCCGGTACCATGGTCGTCTCGGACTTTGTAGCCTTCATCCTCTACGCCGTGATCTGCGCGCCCGTAGTCTGGTTTAGACCCCAAAAGTACCACCTCTTCTTTGCCGTAAGCTCGGTGGCTATGGTCATTTGTGTGTTCTCGATGCTTGGGTGGGCTGTGGGGACCGCAGGAGGGCCAGGAGCCTTGGTGCATGATACGTCGGCTTTGGCGGGTGTCGATCCTGCCAAGGGGTCTGACCTTGGATACGCGTTCGTCTTTGGTATCAGCAGCATGCTCGGAGGTCGTACGTCCTCTTCCCATTCCGTCACCTACTTCCACTAACACAGACTCTAGTCTCTGTACACCTCCTTCATCAATCCGACTACACACGGCTCGCCCGCAAACCAGGCGACCAAGTCTTTTCACAACTCGTCATCGTTCCCCTCGGCACAATTCTCAACTCTCTTATCGGCATCATCGTCACCTCCTGCGCTGCCCAGCTCTATCCATCCGAGGGTCTCCTCTGGGAACCGTTCGACCTGTTTCAGGTTGTACAGTCTGATAGCGGGAACAGCGGGAGAACAAGGTGTGCGGTGGCATTTGCGAGTTTGGCTTTCATCTGCGGACAGCTAGGGTTGACGGTGTGCGGTAATACCTTTTCGGGTGGTATTGATTTGGCTGGGCTGTTTCCTCGGTACTTTACTATTCGCCGCGGAGCGTACCTCACCCTCTGCATGGGCTTTGTGAGTTTGAGCACTGGCCGGTGAATGTCCTAGCTGACATATCAAACAGGTGATGCAACCATGGTCTCTCCTCAACGGCGCTAGCAAATTCCTAACAGTCATCTCTGCCTTCTCTACCTTCCTCGCTCGTACGCTCCCGTCCCTCTTTCGCCCCTCGTCCAGCCTCACTGATGCCTCTTCCTCCCCAGCAATGATCGCCATTCTCATAGCCGACTTCTTTATCCTCCGCCACCGCCGCCTCTCCCTCCTCCACCTCTTCACAAATTCTCCCAAGTCCATCTACTGGTCATTCCACGGCTTCAACATTCGGACTTTTGGGTGCTGGCTGGCTGGTGTCATCCCATTCTTGCCCGGGTTTGCGAGTAATGTGGAGAAGAGCGGGCTTACGGGGGCTATAAGGCTCTACAAACTTGGCTTCGTACGTCTTTCCTTTGCCTTACTCTGCTGGCACCACTCTATCGGATACAGTCGACTGACGTCGGTGCCCATAGATTGTCGGTTTCGCCATCGGTTTTATCACATACATCCTCGTCAATCTCATCTGGCCTCCTCCTTCACCCGACCTCGAAGACGACGAAGACTACTTCGGCACCTTTGATAACGCTCAAACGGAATATGTTGAGCGACAGCAGGTGGGAACGGACGAAGAGAAGGAAGAGAAAGAGGATGCAGGTGAGAAGGGGTCGAGCGCGTCTGTCCATGTGCTTGGGGCTTGAGTTCGGTTTATTATCGTACGAATTTAGAGGTGGATTGTGCTTCATAATGTCAGGTCTTGCTGGAATGTTTTGGGAATTGCGGGTCAAAATGATATTATGATGATTGTATGAACAATGGAAATGAGCTTTCATATGTGCCATGCTGCACCATATTCTGAACAAGGCTATACTATCGACACAAGAATCACTTGATACTGGAGACTCCAGTAAATCACTATCTTGTCAAATAGCTGAAATCTTCCTCAGTAGGGGACCACTCCCCCTTCTCCGACTTCTCTTGGTCTGCCGTCATCTCTTCGTACTCTTGGATATGACCGGCGCTGGTCACATCCTCAATACGCTTCGGCCAGAGCTCTTGAAGCTTCGTAGGCGCATCAATATCATCCTCTTCCACCAGCCTAAAGTCGACTTTATCCCAATCAATGAAAGTGTCATCAGGAACCATACCCGCTCGCTTGAAAGGCTTCCATGAAGGGTCGTTGGATACCGCCGAGGCGAAACGATCCACCCCGCGGAAGAATGAAAGCCGACTGTTTAGCAGCTTGTGAGACCCTGGTCGAGCGATCTGAACTTGTGGGGTCGGGATGGAGAGGGCGGGGAGAATATCTTGCTCCTCGGGAGGCTGTATACCGTTGTTGGACTCGTAAATCTTGAAGAGATTGTTTGTGAGGGTATCCGAAGGTTGGAGTTTGGAGAATCGTTGTCTCTCAAAGGGTGGAACACGCTCCGCGTTCGCTCGAGCGCTTTCAGGGAGATTTTCGGGATCCAAGCTTTCTGGGGGTGCCGATCCGAACTGTGATTTAAAATCGGCTTCCCTCTTGGTCAATGTCTTTCGCAGGCTCTCATTAGTATCGTCCAAAGATTTCAAGTTGAAGGGAGACTCTTCTACAGCATAGTTGCCCTTGGTCTGGCCGGAAATGTGACCAACCGACTTGGTACTCCAACGAGCCAAGCTCTGCCATAAGGATAGACGTTGGCCATGGAAGAGACCAGACATGTCCTTGAGCTTGTCTTCCAGCTGTTCTACTGACATATCCTTGCAAGACTCCTCATATCCATCCATGGACTCCTTCACAGCTTGTTCGATGATCTCGGCATACAGGTCCCCCACAACGGAACTGTCCACCACATGGGATGCAATGGAGGGATCCATCATGCCCATTGCAGCGTTGATGACCACATTATCCAGTTCCTCCTGGAGAACAGATGCTGCGAAGTCATCGAGCCATTCTAGGGGGTTTTCTGGTGGTCTCATGTTAGAAGGATTGCCTGATAAGGTCAAGTCGATACTGCTCGTTCTCATCGGAGTCATCGCCAGATCCTTTGACCAGAGCCCTGTTGTACATGATGTGTGAAAGCTGACTAGTACGAGCCGCGATTTTCCAGGACTCCTGGAGCTTGAATAGAGCCTCGTCCACATGAGACCGGATTTCATCTTGTGACATTGTAGTTGATGCAGGCGTCGCAGACATGTTTGTTGATTGTAGATGTACTCATCATCTCGAAGGGGACACTGCCTTCTTATAGACAATACAGCTGACCGAAGCTAACACTACCCGGTCGAAAGGAAGTTTCCGAGGGCTGGGCCTTCTCACGACGAACTGTGACTTCCGATGTGCGAAAAAGGGAATTTCCCACCACATATACATCGCTTTGACATGAAGAATCATAATCCACATTATGCCAAAAAAAGATATTCAAAGGAAGCAGATCATGGCGTGAATCATTCACATGCCTTTGTTTACTTCTCGCCTCGGTCAGAACCAATATTGTGTTGAGGTGAGTTTCGCACGAAAATTTACTTGTCATAGATAGATGCCGCATCCCATCTCATTTGCTCTTTGAAGTTCGACTTCCGAGTCCTTGCAAGGAATGGTAGGCGATGTGGGAAAAGAAGCAGAGATCCCAAGCACGCGCTTGCGGGTATGGTCGTCCTGTTGCGCGTATACCCGCCGCCGTCGTTGCCGTGTGATCCATCAATGATAATACTCCTCCTTGTTTTGCTAGTAGGCTTTACCATCCGCAGCGTCTACTATCCGTTCCTGCATCTAAATGACCTCGCATAACCGCCCAGGAGTACGCTGATCTTGAGCAACAAGTGAGAAACGGCCAGGTAATCAAGAAGTGAAGTGGGAAGAGGTGGAGTATAGTAAGGCCAGGGTGTCGTTCTCTTCTTCCAGTCTGTTGTGCAGTTCGTTCGTAATGTTTCGAAATCTAACTGTATGTATTAAACTGTGACTCCCTATATGCATAACATTGAAACCTCCTATTGCCGATCATTTACTACTTACTTCAGTACGAGTATGCTACTATCGTGTCAAGTAGCTAAAATTTCATCTGTCGGAGACCACTCCTCCTTTTCCGACTTCTCTTGGTCTGCCGTCATCTCGTCAATCACTTGTTGACCACCGCCACTGGTCACGTCCTCAATGCTCTTGGGCCAGAGCTCTTCTATCTTGGTAGGCGCATCGATAGAGTCCTCTTCGACAAGCCTAAACTTAATCTTGTTCCAATCAGTGAACGTGTCATCATCGGGAACCATACCCGCTCGTTTGAAAGGCTTGAAGCTTGGGTCGTTAGATATCGCCCAGGTGAAACGATCCATTCCCTTGAGGAAAAAGACTCGACTTTTCCTCAGATTGAAGGACCCTATCTTGAAGAATCGAGCCTGCTCAGAGGGGATGAACAGAGCGGGGAGTATATCACGATCTTCGGGTGGCTGCGAGCCATCGGAAGACCCGTAAATCTTGGCGAGATTGTCCGTGATATTGGACACGGGTTCAAATTTGCTGAAACGCTGTTTAATGAAATGCTTGAGACGCTCTTCGTCCTGGCGAGCGCTCTCAGGAAGATTCTCTGGATCCAGATTCTCAGAGGGTGCTTCGCCATACTCGATTTCGAAATCGGATTCTCGTTTGGTCAGCTCAGCTCGCAAGCTCGCGTTCACGTCATCCAAGGAATGTAAATTGAAGGGCTTTTCCTCTACAGCCGATACACCTTTGGTCTCACCGCAAAGGTAGCCAGTCATCTTGGTGCTACGAGACCACGGAGCTAAACTATCCCAAATGGATCGAGGCTGGCCTGTGTAAAGATCCGACACGTCTCGGAGCTTGTTCTCCAGCTGTTTCACTGTCATGTCCTTACAGGACTCTTGATAACCTTCCAGCGCTTTCTCCCGTCCTTGAACTATGACTGGTTCGTACAGGTGGCCAGCAACGTGTGCGCTCACTACGTGATACGCCACAGACGGATCCATCATGCCCATCGAAGCGTTGGAAACAACATTGTCAAATCCTGTTTGGAGAACATTGGCTGTAAGATCGTCGAGCCACACTTGCGGATCTTGTTGCCCTTCCGCAAAGACGGATGAAATGTCCACTTGTAATGGATACCTGTTGATTCCGGCGCTATCTACACTTGGAAATCCACCATCAGTGGAAAATTTAATCCTCTCCCCAATACGTTTGCGAGTCTCGTTGAAGAAGGATTGTTTGACCAAGTCAAGCCTGTACTGCTCCTCCTCATCCTCATCCTCCGGATCATTGTCATTTGGTTTCTCGTCCAGGGTCATCTTGTATACCATTTGTGAAAGCTGGCTAGTACGAGATGCGATTCGCCAAGACTCTTCGAGCTTGGATAAAGCCTTGTCCACATGGGACTGGACTTCCTCTTGTGACATTACGGCGGAGGCAGGCGGCGAAGACCTGCTGTGCGTTTGGTTATAGATGAGAGTGTATCTTCACAAAGTATCCAGGAAGGGCCTTTGTATACGTACTACATGTGATCATAACTGAGCGTTCTATTCAGCACAATAGAAGTGGAACTGGGTGAGAATCTCTCACAATCACCGATGCCACGAGATGCTTGGTGATGATTTCTCACGTTCACGTCACTTCCGAATGAAGGGTCTCAGAATCCGCGCCGTGTCCGCGAGCAAAGTTCATGACAAGTAATTCACATGCACATGCTCGCTCCTCAGTGGTCAGAATCAGTATGCGGTGAATGAGAATAGGGAAGTACGTTGGAATATTGATGTTGTATGGTCATCGTATTCCCGGTCCCTACTCTCCTTTGTTCGACTTTGTTCGAAGTTCCATCCTTCTAAGCGTAAAGGAGAGATAGGCATAGCAGGAGAAGGGGTTCTGCCAATCAGAACACCCATAGTCGTACGTGATGGCTGGCAATTCACCCCCGACAGGTCGGTGATGTCCGCCTACAGAAGTTCCCGCGTCACAATATATGACTCTGTTCTTTCTTTCGAGTCGGGACCGGAGTACAGACCGATCATCTACGCACGCACGATTCACAAAGCATATCACCAAGATCACGTTACGCAGTTCCTCCCATCTCCTCGAGGTATCCGTAAATACCCGCAATTACCCGCCCCACGCTCGAGCCTATCGCAACCTGAAACCTCGGCAATCTGCGCTAATCTTGGCTGTCAATTATATAAAGGCAACCCAATATGAGCGTAAGCGTCTTCATCTCTTCGCCATGGTTAAACCGCCACCGTCCAAGTCTCTCAAGCTGACTCCCCGTCTCAACTACAAGACAAAAACCGCCCCGCTCACGATCGTGATCAAGCTCGGTACGTCCTCATGCGCTACTCGAGCCCGAAAGCTTACACCCTACAGGAACTTCTTCTATCGTCTCTCCCACCTACCCTTTCGTTCCCCATATCCAACTCCTCTCCAACATCGTCGAAACTGTCGTCAAGCTCAGAGATCAAGGTCACCGTGTCGTGCTCGTCTCTTCTGGGGCTATCGGCGTGGGGTTGAGGCGCATGAACTTGAAGGAGAGGGGAAAGGAGCTGCATAAGAAACAAGTGAGTGTTCATGCTTGAGAATAGAGCGTTCTGACAAGTGGCAGGCCCTCGCAGCTATCGGTCAAGGCCGACTTATTGCGCTCTGGGATAATCTCTTCTCACAGCTCGAGCAGCCTATCGCTCAGATCCTCCTTACGCGCATGGACATCTCCGACGTAGGTCTAATCGCACTGTTTGGTGGCAAAAGGTGTCTCTGACGGATCCGCAGAGAACACGCTACATCAATGCCCAAAACACGTTTTCAGAGCTGCTCAATATGGGCGTCGTCCCCATCGTCAACGAAAATGATACCGTATCTGTGTCTGTACGCTCCAATCTCTTATTTCTGGCTTCAGTGTCAATGAGGAAGCAATCGGCTGATATCGTGGAAGGAAATCAAATTCGGCGATAACGATACCCTCTCAGCCATCTCCTCTGCGATCTGCCATGCCGACTATCTCTTCCTGCTGACTGACGTCGAGTGCTTGTGAGTGATCAATTTGCCTACGTACCTGAGAATAACTGACATTCTGTAGATACACTGATAACCCAAGGAACAACCCCGATGCTAAACCCGTCCGTGTCGTGCGTGACATCCAGGCTGTGAAACAGCAAGGTGCGCCCTCTGCTCTACCTCCACGGACCCCAGCTGACGTTCCCCTAGTATCAACAAAGACTCTTGGTTCCTCCCTCGGCACAGGCGGCATGGAAACCAAAATCATCGCCGCCGAACTCGCCACTGCTGCCGGCACAACCACCGTCGTCATGGACTCTTCCAACGTCAGGGACATCTTCCAGGTCATTGCAAATGGGCCTTCGCCTTGTAGAGAGTCGGAAGAAGGAAGTACGTCAGAGTTGTATGAGGGACCATTGTGTACAAGGTTTTTGAGAAAGGAAGCTGCTCTGAAAGAGTAGGTTTTATAGCTCTCAGAGTTAAAAAACTGACGAAGTACGCAGCCGCAAATGGTGGATAGCTCATGGTCTTCATGCTGCCGGCAGCGTCATCATCGATCCCGGAGCTTATCGTGCCATCCAGCGCAAGGAATCTGGCGGCCGACTTCTTCCTGCCGGAGTCGTGAGGGTTGATGGTGTCTTCGCTGGACATCAAGCTGTGAGGCTCATCGTGCGCCGCCGAAAAGGAGAAGACGATGGAAAGGGCGAAGGGGTGGGGAGGAAGGATTCAAGCGTTTCTTTGAATATGTCTACCCCCGCCAGCCCTTCCAGTCCTTCAATGCCACTCTCAGCGACAGCCGTTTCCCCAGCCCTTCGACATCTCAACATTCAGCCCATCTCCATCTCGAACTCCGACCAGCCCGACACCCCTCATATCGAACCCTCCCTCTCACTTTCCTCCTCCATCGCCTCACTTGACCCCTTGAGTCGGTCTGTCCCACCGAGCCCAGCTATCACGCCCTTTGGTACGACCGCTCTGACGGCTATCAACGGCGGAAGCAAGAACGGTGTAGATGGGGGAGATGTGGATGTGGCGGAGTGGGAAGAAGTGGTGGTAGGAAAAGGATTGGCGCAGTACAACAGTGCGGAGATTGATAGGATCAAGGGCAAGAAGAGGTACGTTTCCGTTCCGCGTATCCCATATCATGAGAGGGCCCAGCACTGATATAATTTTGTAGCGCGCATATCGAGCAGATTCTAGGATACAACGACTGCGAGCATGTGGTAGATTCTATCACCTTCATATAGCTGGGCCGGGGGAAGGGGACGAAGACAACATCATAGAGAGCAGCACGACTCAAAACGGTAGGGAGACGCAATGATATATGTTGAATTATACAATAGTTAGCGGCAGACATGTAAGTTACTGGAATACATTCATACATAGACAACACTCGTACAGTACTCGAGTGATTGTTTCGTATATACTGGTAGATCCGAAGTAAGACATCTATGTGCCCCACCGAACCTTCTACTTTCTCCCATTCTTCAAGCCGCTCATAAAGTCCTTCAACTCTGAAGCGCTGACCCCTCTCCGCTTATCCTGCCTTGCCTCCAGAGTAGCTTCTGCAACCTCTGCCATCTCCGCGTCCGCAAACCTCCTGCGCGTTTCAGCGCGTTCGCGGCGCATCTGACGGGAACGCGCAACCCCCCAGTCGTCTTCAAACAGCATAGAGGTTTCGTCAATCGACAGTTGTTCTTATACCTCGTCAGCTACCCGGCAGAAGTATGAGAGAGAGGCAAGCGCTTACTTGTTTCCGGGTAGCAGAAGATGAGAAAGATGAAGAACACCGTGCTGAACCCGAGATACAGCCCATACGTCCCCGCCGGCGTCAACGTCTCTAACTCGCTCAAGAACGAAACTGAGACCACCAGATTCGCCACCCACGCCGCTGTCGTCGCGATCCCCGAACCCACCGATCGGACTTCGAGCGCGAGAAATTCTGCTTGATACCATGCGAGATGCGAGTAGGTAAGACCGAAGCCGGAGGTGAAGAAGACGATTCCGCCGATGACGATACCGACTTGCTTTGTGGGGTAGGTGTAGGAGGTATCGAGAAATCCGCCCGTGGGAACGCATAGGTAGTAGAAGGCGACAATGTTCCAGACGAGACCCGAGAGCTGCGCTGACAGTCAGTCTTCTGTGCAGAGATGTGAGCACTACTCGACGTACCAATATAGGAACCGCGATCATGAAGAGACCCCTCCTCCCCACCATGTCCACCACCGTCAGACCGCAGAGGACAAAGAACGCGTTCGTGCCGGTTGGTATAAGAGCGCCAAGGGCAGGGTTGGATAGGCCAAGTAAGGAGAAGAGTGTACCAGCATAGTAGAGAAGAGTGTTGAAACCCGTCAACTGCCCCGCCGCTTGCGCCACAGTGACACAAGCAATAGATCGCCTATAACTGCCCTTGGTCCAAAGCAGCTTGAGCCTTTGTCTCAAAGTCGTCCCATTTTGAAGTGAAGTCGAAGCCGCAACGTATTCCTGTGCCACTCTGAACTTGTAGTCGATCATCTCTTTAGAGGCGTTCGGGTATATACGTTCAAAGACAGAACGTGCGGCGGGGTGTCGGTCTCGGAGGATGAGAATACGTGGTGACTCGGGAAGGTAATGGAAGAGGACAAGCTGGATGACGGATGGGACGACCCCGAGGGCGACTAGAGAAGATAGATCAGAGGAAGGGTGTCTGGTGGGGAAAAGGAAGAGGCTTACAGAGCAGGCGCCAGTTGTTGTGTGTGTGCTGCACTCCAGCACCGATAGCATCTGCCACAACCTGACCGAATGGGATGAAGAACGCGCTAGTCTATGTTCAGTCTGATTCCTTCAACATTCACCAAATATAGAAAATCGCTCACTTGACACCAATACAGCGACCTCTGACAGAAGTGGGAGCAGTCTCAGAGATGAAGAGCGGTGCGACGACGGCAGCGCCTCCGACGCCTACCCCGAGAATGATTCGACCCGCTATCATCTGACCGAGAGAATAACTCGAGGCGATGATAAGAGCGCCTATCGTAAAACTGCTCTGCATGTCAGCCCAAGATGTATTCTTGCCATGTACAAGCAGCTCACAAGACATCCGAGATCAGGATGCCCATTTTCCTGCCTAGCCGATCTCCATACCCTCCCAGGATCGCCGAGCCAAAGATAGCGCCGATAGTTGTACCAGCCGTGATAATCTCTTGTTGAGCGGAGCTGAGCTCAGAGCCGGTCAGGTCGGTACCAACCATGGGGAGGGCAACGCCTATGACACTGGTATCATAGCCAAAGAGGAAGCCGGCGATGGCAGACTTGGATATGTCAGTTCTGGTGCTGTCAGGGCGAGTTGGGAAGAGACGTACGGCGGAGATAAGGAAGCAGAGATAGGGAGTGACTTTATCCTCTCCTTCAATCTTGACGAGGTTCTCATCCTTTCACATACATTAACATATGCTCCGGAATGGTCCAATCTTAACTCACTATCAGATGCCCGCCAAAGCCGGATGGTAGCGTGTTTTCTTCGACGTGCTCTATGTTTTGGACATCGTTCATGTCTCCCTTGTCGACTGAAGTGTTTTCGAGATGGGCGATGGTCATCGTCGTTGGCAGCTTGGGCGAGGAAGATGAGCAAGAGGCGTGAGTAGATGTGTGAGTAGCGCGTTCATATACTTTTTCTCTATTTACGTCCTGCATCATCCCATGACTTTCATCGGAGCCCTTCCCGAGAAAGACGCTGATGAAGTCATGGGACAGACCAAAGAACATCGGTGTGTCTGCGTTCAATGAGCATACTTGAAGATGGCGGTTGACCGAAAAAGCAAGTCGCCTCGCACCAGAGAATCTCCGCGGCATCGGGCCAAGTGTCGCTTACGTAGGCGATGTTTGCCCCGCGGGGACGGCTGAAATCACTCAACCTTGTTGCTCTCAGGATGCATATTTGCCACCTCGCGCCTTCATGTGTTTGTTTGTCGGCCGAGATTGATACGTTTGTTGATATTCAAGAGGTGGTCGAGCCTGGGTCGAGCCGCCAGCTGTTGGATATGTCCGTCGGTGTACGCAAGTGGTGATATCACGAGCGGAAGCAATTGTCTCAGCGCCAACAACGGACTTGATAACAGCTCAGCTGACCTGCAACTGACTGCAGACTCGTTATCACGCCCTCGCTCTCACGCACCGTGTCCTTCATCTCGTTGTCCGTCTTACCAGCTGACGACGCTGAGGGAATCTCGAATAGGTACGCAAAGCATCTTCCTGATTCAAATGAGAAAGACTGACGGCGGATAGCGCAACAGGCGGGACACTCAGTCTCTAGCCCGCGCATGCAGTCAAAGCTTACATACCCTTCCCCCCGCGTCACCTCACATACCTGCCTCCGTTAGCTCCACAACTTGACTCTCAATGGGACCCAAAAAGAGCGCCCGCAAGGGTGCCAACAAGGGCGGCGGCAAGGGTGCTAGCAAGCCCAACTTCCTCTATGGCTTCGACAGATACGCGTTCGACGATCCCGAGACTGCTCCTTTGCGGACCAATGTTCAGGGCAAGCTCATGGCCTCCAAGCTTGTCAAGCCCACCAAAACGAAAATGGAGAAACACTTGGCCATATTCTGCGGAAGGTTGACTAGAGCCGAGAACGCTGGTACCAGCAACACCGAGCTCGACCTCTGCGCCTTGTTCATCAACTCTCTTCCCCTTGAGCTTCCCGAGTTCTCTGCAGCCTACGCTGCATTTCGAGTAAGCGATGCGCCTACGTGGAACGAGTGTCTGAGAATCTACAAGTCGCTACTCGCCTCGCGACCCCCTCATCCTCCAAAGAAAGCTGTCACTGGGGGTAAAGGAGGGAAGGGAAAGAAGAATAAGGGGGGCTCGGGAATCTGCCCTCGTTGTAAAACAAACCGACACCAGGGAACGGGCTGCCCAGATTGGAAGAGATCCGCAAGCCCCGAGACTGAAAATGAGAGCGTGATGGACGGGGAGAATAAGGATGAGAGGGAAGACGCGGGGGTACACGTGGCTGGGGTGGAGGGGAGGACTTTGGGTCTGGTGCAGAGTCTAAAGACTTTGTCGAGAACAGCGTTGAGAATTGAAGGTAAAGAAAGATATGGAGGCGTCTCGCGAGGGCGACAGAGGAAGAGGGAGGGCATTTTGGTGTTGACCATGACGTGACGAGGATGGACCAAAGTGTCAGTTGTTGAAGATAGCTTGTATCGGTTGTTTGTATCGGTTGCTTGTATAAGTATGTCGCTTGTATACATACCTCCCTCTCGAGCTCGACTTCCATATTCAATTTCACTTGCGACAGAGATGATTTCGACTCGTCGTTGCTCGACTCATGTCTCATCCACGGCTTTCATTCGAGTGAAATCTCAGTGAACGCACAGCGCTCCGGACAGCCGAGTAGACGTTTTTCTAAAAAAGGGTTCTGGAGAAACAAGCCATGTCAGAACGTCTATGGGATTGTCTGGAATTTAGAAAAACGTCTAGATCGCCTCCGAGTTACTTAGATGTTCTTCTAACGGCGAAGCGAGAGGGGCCGTGGGGGATCTCCCGGGCGGTTCATGCAAGTTCAAAGCATCTCTAGGGCTGCTTGCTCGACCATACATAAATGTATATGCCTGCGGCCTGCCGAGTTCGAGCGGAAGCAATTGTCAGGGCGGCTGCTCTAGTGAACTTTGGAGGTGGATCAGAGGTGGATCCCGTTCTGCGTCGGTACTTTGTCGGTACTATTGCCTTTTCCATCTTGCCAAAACGTACAACGCTCGAGGGATTGCTATCATAGAAGAGTGGAGCATCTTCCCAACTTGCATAGTCACTGAAGAACTGTGAATAGCGCACCCGATCATAAGTCAAATGCACTAGAACGCCTCTCTATCCTACCTCCATCGAACCCCCTGCCGCCTGCAAAACCCCCACCTCTTCGTCCACAAAGCGTCGTCGCGAAGCAGAAGATATGGTCTCTCCCGCGCACAACTGGGTCTTGCCCCCCAAGACCACTTGTCCAGAACTGCGGCGCGCAACCAACAGAGCCCTCAACCTCATCCAGCTCCACTCCAACCCCACAGCCGACGAGATGCTCGCCCACGAAATCGAATTTGGCCGCCTATGGGCCTCTGCCAAGCAGGCGGGGAACGAATACACCGAGGCCGACCGCTGCGCAACTTTTGTCTACTCCCTTCCCAAACGCGATCCCGAATTTGCCGTCGAATACATGTTCTACTACCGGCCACAGCTTCGAACCGATGGCAGCGGGCCCACTTGGATCGAGTTTATGCAGATCTACCATGCGATGACCTTGATGCGAGAGTATGACGAGAAAGATAGAGAGCGGAGCTCCGGCGCTCGTCGAGATCAACAAGGCGGCGGTGGTAGTGGGACGGATCGGCGAACTTGCTTTGCCTGTCGCCAGAAGGGACACATCTCACGCGACTGTCCCACCCCCAAGAAGTCCGCGAAACCAAAGTCTGGGGCGGGGACTGTGAAGGGCAAGGACAAAGAAGAGCACACTATCTTGCTCCCGTCGTTCGGCGTGGAGAATGTTGCCCCTGGCGTCGAACCCAGCAGATCAGTCAAGGCCAAGCATGGGGGTGAATCATCCCATACCGGCAAGACTATTCCCAACAAGAATTCCTTTTTGGTCACCACGGGTGCCCAACACCACATCACACCCCGACGCTCCCTCCTCGCCTCCCTCCGACCATGCTCGGGCAACATCATCCTCCCCAACTCGGCCCGTCTTCCCATCAGTGCCGTCGGCGTGCTGTCCCTCAGAGACGATAAGGGGGACAAATGGGAGAGCTTGGAGATCAAGGATGTACTGCATGTGCCGGGGGCGGTAATGAGCGTCCTCTCGATAAGGCAGCTATGTGAGGAAGGATGGGAAATCAATATAGGTGGCGACGTGATGAAGAGAGGGCAAACGGTCGTAGGCATGACCCGTGTCGGTCACTTGCTCTATGTCTCCGTCTAGTGGGAGCGCCCGCTCGAGTTCTCAAGCTGGCTATATGTCGATCTAGCCGAGGGAATATGTTTTGTACTAGTGCTACATTGAAATGTATCTAGCGTGCCGCATACCCTATATGATCTATCTACCCATCTACCCCAACATCTATACCCGCAAACACTGTCCCGGCAGCCTTACTTCTTTCCATTCTTCAGCCCACTCATAAACCTCCCCAACTCTCCCGCACTCACCGCCCTCCGCTTATCCTGCCTCGCCTCCAAAGTCGCCTCTGCAACCTCTGCCATCTCATCGTCTGCAATCTTCCTCCTCGCTTCCTGCCTCTCCCTACGCATCTGGCGCGATCGCTTGACGCCATAGTCATTTTCAAAGAGGAGGGACGTTTCGTCGATCGACAATTGTTCTACCGCCATGTCAGCAATACTCGAATAGTGGGGGGGAGGAGGAGCTAACTCGTTTCGGGATAACAAAAGACAAGAAAGATGAAGAACAGCGTACTGAGCCCCAAATAAAGCCCATACGTCCCCGCCGGCGTCAACGTCTCCAGCTCACTCAAATAACTAACCGAAACCACCAAATTCGCCACCCAATTCGCCGTCGTCGCTATCCCGCTCCCCACACTCCTCACCTCCAGCGCCAAGAACTCTGCTTGATACCAAGCGAGGTGCGAATATGTGAGGCCGAAGCCGGAGGTGAAGAAGACGATACCGCCGATGACGACACCGACGTTTTTGGTCGGGTAGGTGTAGGAGGTGTCGAGGAGGCCGTTGGTGGGGATGCAGAGGTAGTGGAAGGCTACGATGTTCCAGATGAGGCCGGAGAGCTATACGAGAGTTAGTTTTGAGGGGAAGGGGAGGAAGAGAAGGGACTTACTAGAATGGGAACGCCGATCATGAAAAGACCTCTCCTGCCCACTTTGTCTACCATCGTCATACCGCAGAGGACAAAGAAGGCGTTCGTCCCCGACGGTATCAGCGCCCCAAGCGCAGGGTTCGACAGCCCCAACAACGAAAACAACGTCCCAGCATAATACAACAACGTATTAAACCCCGTCAACTGCCCCGCCACCTGCGCCACCGTCACACAAGTGATCGACCTCCTATAACTCCCCTTCCTCCACAACAGCCTCATCCTCTCCCCAAACGTCGTGCCCTCCTGCAAACTCCGCGACGCTGCCACATACTCTTGCGCCACGCGAAACTTGTAGTCGATCATCTCTTCAGAAGCGTTGGGGTAGATCCGGCGGAATACAGAACGGGCGGCGGGGAGTTGGTCGCGGAGGATGAGGATGCGCGGGGATTCGGGGAGGTAGTGGAAGAGGACGAGTTGGATGAGGGAGGGGGCGGCGCCGAGGGCGACTGGTAGAGGTCAGCTTGGTAAGGAGGAGAGCGGGAGAGAGGGAGCTTACAGAGGAGACGCCAGCCGTTCGGCATAGTCTGCACACCAGCACCAATAGCATCGGCTACAACTTGCCCAAAAGGGATGAAGAATGCGCTATTCATCATCTCATCAGTCCTCTGCCACCTTTCACCTTTTTCGAAGAGAGTAAAACTTACTTGACACCGATACATCGACCTCGTACAGCAGTCGGAGCAGTCTCGGTAATGAAGAGAGGCGCTATAGCAGCCGCACCGCCGACTCCTATACCGAGGATGAGACGGCCAGCTATCATCTGGCCGACAGAGTAACTCGAGGCGATGATGACTGCGCCAATCGTAAAGCTTTCCCTCACATCAGTCCAAATCCCCTCCCTCGCTTCCTCTGAAAAACTCACAATACATCCGAAATCAAGATACCCATCTTTCTCCCCAGTCTGTCACCCCATCCGCCCAAGATGGCTGACCCAAAAATGGCGCCGATAGTCGTGCCGGCGGTGATGATCTCTTGTTGCGCCGACGTCAACGTTGAGCCTGTGAGGTCGTTTCCGACTAATGGCAGGGCGACACCGACGATACCCGTATCATAGCCATATAGAAAACCTGCGATTGCAGACTGTCGTTTCGTCAATTAACAGTCGCGCAGACCAGAAGATGAGGAGGGGAGGGACGTACGGCAGAGATGAGGAAACACAGATACGGCGTGACTCTATCTTCGCCTTCAATCCTGACCAGATTCTCATCCTTCCGTCTTCTGTCAGAATCGTCTCAGAATCCAAGTGGGAGGAGCTTACGATGAGATGCCCGCCGAAACCAGAGGGCGGCTTGCTGGCCCCCGTATCTTCGATGACCTGAATCTCATTCATGTTCTTATCCGTAGAAGCATTTTCGAGGTGGGCGACAGTCATCCTCTCGCTGTTCGCAGTGTTGATAAGAAAAGTCGTATCTCTATCGTTGAAGTTCAAGTTGATCGCTGAAGGTGGAGGGTGAAAGGTGGAGAGGAGGACATAGCTGGCAAGAGGATGTCCCGTTCATATACGCAAAGAAATATGTCTCATGGCAAAAGAGTCGTACCGGTAGCTCTAAGCACCTTGCCGAATCGGAAATGAGGCATAGAACAACGTCGTGCCTAATCCTGCGGCAGTTGCTCCCCCAAGGCCCAGTCAAATGGGTAATAAGGATTCTGTTAATCTGGCGAGAGAAAGAATAGCTCTGAATGCGGCAGTGGACACCAAAGAAGACCGGTATCGGACAGTCGGACTCGGCATCTCTTTTCGGCAACCCGGCTTCGGACCGTACATGCCTTACGTATACATCCCCCCAAGCCATACTATTGGTGGCTGAATCGTCGTTGGATGATGTTTCTGAATGCATAGCTGCCTGGCGATGCTGTCATAGAAAACAATTAATCTGGGGGACCACATCATCCCTCTAAAGGCCCCGCTCGGACAGACGAGTGCCCCGATGTCGCCCCACACCAAAAGGTCGGTTCGTGCCCACCTCGGATTCGGGATGCAGCAGATGTTACTGTAATACGGACGAGTACATAATGATGTGATGTTTGTTGAGTGGCGTGCATAATGGTTACAGACCGTTTGTTGATGACTGTATCTGATGTGATACTGCTTTCAAAGAGGTGGGATGGAAGCCAAGTGAAGGTCAGACGCGGGCTATCAGGATAAGTTTTGCTTGGGGATGTCAATGCCAATCAGTGTCCGGATTCACATCGGAGACGGGACCACTCGGCCAAAAGGTCTGTTCATACTCTAATGCCTAAGCGAGGTAACGACAAGCTCTCTAGCTAGCTCTGAAGCCTGGCCCTGCTGGGAGGTCATATGTACTTTTTCCCACCATCCAGGACCATCAGCATGCAGCACGTTTGCTATGGATACGTCCATGAATTTCTTGATGGCAGGATTATGTTGCGGTGTCAAGGAACGACCAGGCTTGCAGCTTGCAGTGATATTGAGAGCACGATAGTCATCGCTGAACAGTCTGTTATGAGAAAGAGAGACGTCCCCGTATACCTCCGCGGTACACAAACAACCGCCACATCAGCGTAAGTGGGCCGCGCGAATAATGTTGGTGCGACTGCTTTCTGGATGTCAACAAACAATTGCCCATGTCCTCTTGCATCTCTCTTTTCTCATCCCCTATCCCTACATTATCCACCATGTCCCAGCTCACCCCCGGCAAAAGGGCCCGCGACAGATACATCCCCTTCAACAATGATCCCAAAAACGTCGGCACGTACGTCCCCTCCCTCTCTCTCCACTTGACGCTTCCCATACCCAGATACTGACTCGGCTCTCTATCATAGTCGGTCAGGCATGATCATGCCCCAAAACCTTCCCCGCCGCGAAGGCCTCGAAGACCCCGCAGCATACTTCAACTCTCCCGACGGGCCCTCAGGCTCGAACAGGCGCGATACGATGAACTCGACCTATTCGCGCGCGACGTACATGACCACGCCCGGTGCCCGGACCACCTACGCCTCTGACGACGATGATGCGGCGTCCAGGGGGGATATGGAGACGCCGGGGACGGCGAGGCGGGTGTCAAGGGCGGGGAGGGGGAGGATGAGCGATTTGGATTTCGAAGAAGGGATGGGTGGTGGGGATGATCTGTTACATGATGAAGATGACCTCGGTATGTTTTCCCCTACTTTAAGCTGATGGCAGGATACTGATGTCCCATAGCGATGGCTACACCAGGCTCCTATTTCCCCGGAAGCAGTAAGCCAAACAACCTCCTCCCAAACACCTACAGAAGCTTACTGGATCAACAGACCCACCATCCGTCTCCCTCCCCTCCAGCTCCCGCTTGAACCGCGCATCCCCAGCCACCCACACAGCCTACGACGCCCTCCCCTCCCCCTCCCCCTCCAAATCCCGACCCACCAAAGATCCTCGTAAATCCCATCTCGTTCCCCGCTCCGCGCCCAACAGCGCGCATAAGAAGAGTGGGCTGTCGAATGGGAGGACGGCGAGGGCTAGTGAGAGTGAAGAGGAGAGAGCAAGGAGTGGGAGTAGGAGTGATCATGAAGAGCTGGCGCCGACGCCTTCGCCGGAGCCGGAACAGCAGGCAGAGGCGGAGCCACAAGCGAATTATTCGTTCAACGATGAACCTGGGCCTTCCAACTTTGGCGCAGACGACACTGTCGACCTCGGGGACGAAGCGCCATTTGACGACGACCAGCCTATGGCGCCCATGGACGACTATGATGTCCAAGGTGCCGAGGAAGAAGAACGCCGTCAAGCCGAAGCTGGCTCCGATTCAGAACAAGATGAGGAGGATAATGGCGGGTATGATGAACCTCTTCCTGAAGTCGAGATGGAGCAAGATGGTTCTGAACAAGAACAAGGGTCGGAAGAGGAGGAAGAACGAGCGCCGGTGCAGAAGAAGAAGAGTAAGGGGAGGGAGAATGCCAAGACGGCGGCGCAGAAGAAGAAGGATGCTGCTGCTGCTCGAAGGAAGGATCCCGTACCGAGGAGAGAGCGAAGTCAGTCGGCGCAGCCTAGAAGAGCCAGACTGTCGGAACTCGGTTCGTCCCTCTTTCTGCCCACTGTCGCGAAGAATCAGAAGCTAATGAGATGGTATAGATGCAAACGGAAACGGCGTCACCGGCAACTTTCTCACCCGCCGCTCCGGCCGCCAACACATCAAACCCCTCGAATACTGGCGCGGTGAAAAAGTCGTCTACGCCCCCGGCCCCGGACTCGCCATCGTATCCGAAGTCGTCACCATCCCCGAAGAGTCCGCCATCCCCTTTGCCGCGCGAAACAAGAGGCGCGGGCACAGAGCTGCCAGTGCGTCCAAAGGGAGTGGAGGGGGAGGGGGGAAGAGGAAGAGGAGGAGGGAGGATAGTGAGGAGGAGGAGGAGGAGGATGAAGCGGGGTGGGATGATAAGACGGAACCGACGGGGTTGATCCAGGATTTCCCGGGGAAAGCTGAATGTCATCGAAGTGAGTTCTCCTCTTGTCCCTATTTATCACGATGAAGGAGATGCTGATGGGAATGTAGAAATTGCGTGTCCGAAAGCGCTGCTGGTGCCGAAATTGGTCCAAGGCGGAAGTTTCAAGTACCAAAAAGTCTTTGGCGAAGGCGGGTTCATGGCTGCTGGTGTCGTTTACGTCCCTGTCGGGGAAAAGAAGAATACTAAGCCGTCCAAGGACAATGCTTATGTGAGTGCTCACTCACTGAGGGACGAGATGTAGGCTGACAGGTGCATAGGTCTTTTATGTGATTCAAGGAGCGGTGCAAGTAACGATCTACCGGACGAGTTTCGTCATGGCCCCGGGTTCCCAATTCCTCGTCCCGAGAGGTACGCCCCCCTTTTCCATCTCTCCATCCCAACACACATGCTGACCATGAACAGGAAACGACTACTGCATCGAAAACATATCCCCAAACAAAGAAGCCCAACTCTTCTTCGCCCAAGCGCGCAAGATCCGCGCAGGAGAGGAAGAAGAAGAAGGTATCCCAGAGTCGCAAGGCGGTCCTGCTATGGGGGGTATGTCGCAGGAGATCAGGCCGGGGGGTAGTCAGGGTGCTAAGAAGAAGAAGGGAGAGAAGAAGGTGTCGGGGAAGGGTTCTGCGGTGAAGGGGAAGGGGACGGGTATAGGGAAGGGGAAGAGGTTGCCGGTTGTAAGAGAGGAGAGTGGGAGTGGGAGTGGGAGTGGGAGTGGGAGTGAGAGTGGGAGTGGCAGAGGGAGTGACGAGGAGAGTGGAAGTGGGAGCGAGGAAGAAGAGTCGGAACCGGAACCGATGAAGAAGAAGAAGGCAAAAGCGAGGAGATAGACGTTTTGTTGTTCCCTACGTAACGTAGGATAGGATGTGTTCCACTGATCGACGTTATGCCGTAATTGATTTCATATGTTCGCTTGGGTCTTGTGGGATTGTATGGATTATCTATCATTATGTTGCGATGAGCAGGTGTGAAGACCTGAGGCCATGGTCATTACAAAACTCACGAAAGACACGGACGAAAAAGTGGTGACATGGCCGTTCCGCGCATGACCGCCGTCTTTGCATCTTCATCCTTCACTCACATCCCTCTATACACTATAATCCACAAACATCCACAATGGCCGACAAACCGAAGGTGTGCATATTCACGCCGGAAGGTACAATCACTAACTCTCATAGACCTCCCGCCCAACATGGGACAAGTCCGAATATTCCACCCTCGCAAAAGACAAAGACCAACAATCATACGAACACGCCAAAGAAGCCGAGTCCTTCCTCCAATCAGGCAAGGCCCCCGGCAAGAAATCACAGTATGACGACCTGCCGAAACCGACCGAGCTGTTGAAGGCGAGAGAGCAGGATCTGGGATTGACCAAGAATTTGAACAAGACGATGTTGGTGTCGATGGGGGGTACGGGGCAGAAGGGGCCGAGGGGAGGGGGGTTTTATGTGAGTTTTGATGGCTGATGGTGGGGAGTGCTGGGGGTTGGAAGGGGGCGAGTTTTGGATTTGCCGGCCAAGAGAGCTTGCGAGCTGTACGAGCAAACAGTCTGGGCGGATGGAGGCTCAGCTACCGAAGGAATCTCGCTCGTTCAGTGCATAGGATGACCTGGGCCGAGAGGGGGCTGAGATGGCAGAGCCGATGCGATGAAAGAGCTGACTTTCATCCTCAGTGCGAACTATGTAACAGGACGTTCAAAGACTCTCTCTCCTACTTGGACCACGTCAATGGGAAACTCCGTACGTCACTCCTTTCCTCTCTTCTATAAGCCCTCCGCTAATGACAACGTCAACAGACCTCATGAAACTCGGACAAACCACCCTCGTCCACCGCTCAACCCTCTCCGCCGTACGCGCCCGTATAGCAACCCTCCGCGCCGCCTCTCAATCCTCCGTAACCTCCAAGAACTTTGATTTCCAACAACGCCTGAAAGCTGTT